ATGGAACAATTAAGTAAACTATAAGGGTTACTTGAACACAAGTACTACAATAGTGTGACAGTCAATCTGCTAACCAAGAAACTACTAACAGACTAACAAATAGAGTAGTACACTACTAACAGATAGTGTAGGCAGCATGGATGCACTGGACAAAGGAACAATTCACATCCTGGGATTTCATCATGCTGCTCAGAAGGGTGTGCAACTTAAAACTTATGAATTATCTCTGGAATTTTCCATTTAATATTTTTGGATCATGGTTGACCTTGGGTAACTGCAACTGTGGAAAGTGAAACCATAGGTAAGGGAGGGATTACTTTAACTGCAGTATATTATTAAAGCTCACCACCAGTCCTATGTCAAGGTTTCTCTTATAATTTGGTTGTGTGAAACTCATTCTGTAGTAGATTCCTCAGGAAGGAATCATAGAAACACTATTCACTGAAGTTTTGCATGTTGATAACACTGTGTGCCCTTTATAATTCAAAGTCAGTTTGGCTGGATATAAAATCCTTAGCTCACATTTCTTTGAGTATCATATTACTCCATTTTCTTCTGGCATAAAGTGTCATTGTCAAAAAATATGATGATAATCTAATGTTCTTTCCCTTATAAATTGTTTGCTCTTTTTGCCTAGATTCCTGAATATTTTTTTCTTTTTCTTTAATGTCCAATAATGTTACTAAAACATGTCTTGGTGTTGGTTGTTCTGCTTCAGTATTGTCAGGTATGCTCTTTCAATAAGTAGTTTCAGCTGTTTTTACTTTATATGAAGCATAAACATTTTTACTTGAGATATATAAATATTTTTACTTGACCTATAAACAGACTTGAAGCATATAAATTGTCAAAACTCAAATATCTGAGATATATGCATTTTAGTAAAATTTAATAAATATATCTTTGATATTCAGTTTGATGCTGTGTAACCACCATATAAAATAAGATATAGAACATTAAATCCTTTTATTTTTCACAGTGGTTTTCTTTAATTCTAGTCCTTAGTATTCATTCTGTTCCCTTGCATTGTTTAATTCCTTAGGGATACCTATCATCCCATGTTGAATCTTCTCTATCTTTAATGTTTGTTACTTTCTGATGAATCCTTTTTACTTTCTTCATTTCTTTTCGGTTTTTAAAAGTTCTCTCCTCCTACTTTCTACTTCTTTTTCTCCTTCTGTTGTGTTTTTATTTGCTCTTGTGTTCCTTCTAGCTTATTCATTTCTGAAATTATCTTTCTATTATTGCTAATTTAGTTTTGTCACCTTATGTCTAAGTTTTTCTTTTTTTTTATGTCTAAGTTTTTCTAATTCTGACTTATGAGTTCTTTCAGGTCTTGTCTCATTTTCTCAATGCACTTTTGCTTGTTTTGAGACAGACTGTTACAGTTTCGATCTATTCTGTGAGCATGTCTTTCTAGTGTGCATTCATTATCTGTAGTGACTTTGCTCCTTATTCTCTTTTTCCTTACAATAACCTTGAAACTTTGTATTGTTCATTTTATGCAAAAGTTATTTTCCTAAAAGTTTAGAAGGAGAGGCCACTTTAGAAGGAGAGTAGATTTTCTAACTTCACAAAGCTCCCTCTTGAGCTGTTTTCATGTAGTATTGAAAACTATGGCGGCTTACTTTCTGAGACCTCCTGGCTCTGTTCCCATTCCCCCTTCATCACTACTGTTCCTACATCCTGCATGATTCTGATTCCATTCCCACCAGTGTGGGCCTGTCCTGGAAGAGAGCCTTGTCAGAGCAGTTTCAAGAGTTCACAAGGGTTAGACTGCTTCAGCCTCTTTAAATCTTACTGCGGGCCCCTTGCACTCACCCCTTATTGGCTTTTGCCACACCCCCCGACATCTGCACCCAGCCCAGCAATGACAAAGCCACTGCTGGAAGTTTGGGGGTTCTACTCTCAGGTCCATCAGATGCCCTGCTTTCTCCAACACAGATGCTGACACCATGCAGATTTCGTGGCTGTTGGTTGTCAGTCCTCACCATTTGCATTTTGGAATTCATATAGATAACCCTGTCACATAGTTTTGTTGTAAATAGTATCCAGAGTTTTCAGTTCTTCTGCTTAATTATTTTGGCTGTTTTTATATTGGGGTTTGGAAAAATTTAAAAACTATGTCACTGCCACTATCATCTTTCCAGACTCCCCCAACAACAATCTTAACGGGAGGATTATCAAGATACTAATTCTAAGTGTCAGCATGGCAAATTACAAGACTTAATAACATAAACTCCCTTTGACCCTACAATTCTAATTCTGAGATTTATTCTAAAGAAATAATCTAAGTAGGCAAGTGGAAAAATGTGCATACAAAGCTATTCTGGATTGGACTAGAATGCTTTCCCCGCTTCTCATTTTTAACTCCCACTTTTACTATACATATTATCCCCAATACTATCTTATTTAGAGTTGGAAAACTATACAGTCTTGTTAAGTTTAAATAATCAACAAATATATGACTGACAAAATGTAAAGATAAATACCTTCAAATGTTGGTCCATAAATTGACTCTCCATTATCTCCTTTTCCAGCTACTATATCTGAGAAAAAGCAATAAACATTAGAATTCTGAGACTAAAAAAGAGTTAGAGTACAATAATGAAAGCGAAAAATGATGTTTTAAATTATGATTCCACTTATACCGATGACCAGAATAAGCTACCTTTTGTTTAATATCTCTACCACAAAGATATTACTATAATAATTTCTCATGTATTTTGTAAGCACTTTTACACTTATTTATTGATTGATTGATTGATTGTCCTTTTTGAGACCGGCCGCACCGTGCTCAGCCAGTGAGCGCTGTGAGTGCACCGGTCATCCCTATATAGGATCCGAACCCGCGGCAGGAGCGCTGCTGAGCTCCCAGCGCCGCACTCTCCCGAGTGCACCACGGGCTCGGCCCAGCACTTTTACATTTATGATCCCATTGTTTTCCTCATAATAATGCTCTTAGGTAGGTTAATTTATAATGCAAAACCTTTGAAATAATAAAGTAGTAAAATTATATTTGTGGTCACAATTTAAAGAAAATGTATTTGCATAAATTCTACTCACTTCACAAGTTATTCCATAGCCCCTCTTGCTTTTCAGAAAAATGGAAAGATTCAAGTGAGAGGATGAAAATAGGAACAGCAAGTTCTTTTTAGAATGTGAAAAAAAAAATAGGTGCTGTAAAAAGAAGTCACGTTCAAATTTCCATTCCTATAGTTACCCTATATTGATAATTCATTTATTTACCCAGTATTTTGGAAATGAAGTTCCTTTGAAGTCATGAGTTTTTCCTTTAGATATTTATATGATGTGCATATTTTGGCACTACAAAAGGACTCTGTGCACTAGTTACTTTTTTTTCATACATCCACATCTAAAAGGGAAGCAAAGCTAACTCTAGTGAAAACTGAGGTCTCTGAGGTAGGTCTGTCTTCTGTACCCCCCTGCCTCCCCATCAGTATCCCTCAGTGCTCTAATCCACCTCTCCTTTAATACAGTATTCAACAAATATTTGTGTTGTTTTTACTTAGCATGAGAAATTTCTATGTAATAAAAGTGTGCTATTCCTTTTTTAAAGGAATCTGATACAACAGTATGTGGAGGGAATTTATCCGGGAACGGGCATGTAGTAGCATTTAAGTTATACTATTCCTAAAGCTGGTTCAGAAGTTAATTGATAAGCCTTCAGTCTCCATCTCTACTGTGCCTAACACTCCACCCATGACTCACTCCACAGCCCTCAGCAGTCAGGAGGATGCCGTAATGTTAAGCCTCTACCAGCACCAGTTTCTTCAGATCCTAGAGTTTGCTTTGCTAAGGCAAATGTGTCTAGGTGGGCCCCCTCCCCTGCTAACATCGAAACATGAGCCACACTCCCTTGTCCCATACTCCTACACCCCCAACATTACTCTGGTCTTCTGCTTCAGATATCCCAGGTGAATATTTCATCTTGACACCATTTCAATAAGTATTTACTATTATTTTTTGTGGCCATAACCCACCCTTTTAAGTATTTTGTGGCTATAACCCACTTGAATTAAGTATTGTGTACATGATATTATTTCTATGCCTCTGACAACAAACTCAGAGATACCAAGTAGATGTTGAAAACAAACTTTAATGTCAGATAATTTTGATTTCAATCTTGATGTTAGTTACCTTTTCCAAGCCTGTTTTCTCGTCTGTATAAATGGGGATAACGGTTACTCCCTCAGAGGTAGCTCTGAGGATTAAATGAAACAATGTAGGTAGAGCACATAGGGCAGTACCCTGAAGAGCATCATGCACATTCATTAGTGGCTGCCATTACTGTGCAGCATCAATGCTTATAGAGTGCACCTTCTCATTATCATCATCTTCACCATCATTATGCTCAATATGATGATGATGATGACAATAAAATGTATCAAATTGTATTTTAGATCCTTCTGAAGGCAGGCCTTGTGGGAAGCATTGAAGAAATCCAACCAAAGGGGCATAACGACTTGATATCTTCTTTAACTTTGTACTTTAGAAATGAAGAGAATGTAAGTTTCCTGTTTAACTATCTCTTCATTCATTCATTCATTTTTTAAAAATTCAATTTTATTTATTGTTTTATTTTAACATTTACTTGTACATTTTCATGGGGTACAGTATGTTGTTTGAATACATGCATATACTGCACAATGATTCACTTAGGGTAGATAGCATAGTTTTGTACCTGTTAGTCCCACCACTTCTCCTTCCTTCCAACCCCTTCCCTCCCAGCCTTTATTAAACACCTACTATATGTGAGGCACTGTTCTAGAACCTCGAATGCAACAGTGGACAGATAGATAAAAATCTTTGCCCTCTGGAATTTATATTCCAGTGAAAAGAAACAGACAATAAAACAAATGAACTAAGAAACATAGTAAAATATATCTAATAGTGAAAAGTGCTGTGAAGGCCGGCCCGTGGCTCACTCGGTAGAGTGCGGTGCTGATAACACTAAGGCCCCGGGTTCGGATCCTATATAGGGATGGCCGGTTTGCTCACTGGCTGAGCGTGGTGCTGACAACACCAAGCCAAGGGTTGAGATCCCCTTACCGGTCATCTTTTTAAAAAAAAAAAAAAGAAAGAAAGAAAAGTGCTGTGAAAAAAAAATAAAGCAGGGTAAGGGGATAGGAGAGTGGCAGGTAAGGGGTGAGAAGAGGTTTGTGGAGAGGAAGGTGGCAGTTTTAAGTCAGGAGGTCAGGTAAGCCCTTGTTGGGAAAAGTTCCAGACAAAAATCAGAAATGGATAAGGGAGGGAAGCAAGGTGGTATCCGGAAGAATAGCTGGGCAGAGTGTGTCCCAGGCAAAACAGACAACAAAAGATCTCCAGGCTCATATGTACCTGATTGTGCTTAAGGAACAGCAAGGAGGCCAGTGTGTGCAGCAGAGTGAACGAGAGGGAGATATCAGAAGATGAGATCTGGGGGTGGGGGCAGTTGGACTGTGCCAGGTCTGATGGGCCCAAAGGGCAAGCAATAGTGTCTGGAAGCATCCTAAGGCACAGCACAAGACCACATTTAGCCCCTGTACTCTAAAATTCTACACTGCTCTGTGAGAATGTGACATCTGCAGAGAAAAGAGTATTTCCAGAGCTTGGCACTTTCAATACACTACGTCATTGGATCGTTACCAGATCCTGTGATAATAAGTACCTGCTTTTTATGATTAAGAAACTGATTCAGAGTTGCTAAGTGGCTTATCCAAGGTGGTACAACTTATATGTATCAGAGTTTGAATTTGAATTTAGCAATCCAATTTTTTTCCAATGTAATGTCCTTAACATTGCTGCCTCACTGTTTGAAAACATGACTCAAGTGCACTCGCAAGATTTACCTCAAATAAATAAACAAAAACACAAACAAATAATATGACGTACTTTGCCAAAATCTTTTTCTGGAGGAGTTAAACCAAAAACAGAACAGAACATACTACATGAGAGTCAACATTGAACTCAGTGTCAAGAACCCTGATACTGGCCCCCTTGAGGACTGTCTTACGCTAATAAAAAACAGAAAACAATCTAAATGTTCACCAATGGGGAATTAAGTTGGTATAGCAATATGATAAACAAACAAAAAAATGAGCAGACGCTAAACAGTTTGTATATTTATTGACAATGGGAAGATAATCATCACATATTAATTGGAAAAACAGTAAGGTTAAATAACGGTATTTGTGATATAATTTCATTTTGGAGAAGCTGAAGGAAAAATAGCTGCTTTCATGCAATTCTTGGAGTAAATATACATTTTTCTCCTCATCAGATCATACAAAAATATTATACATTAAACGTCTGCATATGTCATCACGTTCAAGCAAATCTCCTTCCACACTAAGCCAATTTTTCTTAAATTGCTACTCGATTGCTCTTTATGGAATATCTCCCAAAAGGCCTTCAAAATTTAATTTTGTGCTGTCAATCAGACACCTAGTTTGTATAAAGCCAAAAGCTTGAACTGAAAAAAAAAGTAAAAATGAAGACCAAAATCCCTTAGATATTTCTTTTCACTTGTAATAATGTAACATCTTAGGTAGAAAATAAGTTATTTTCCATTTATTCTCTTTCCAAATTCCCACCCTTAGTATGTTTCTTAAAAGCACTGTATTTCGGGCCGGCCCGGTGGCGCACTGGATAGTGCGCTGCTTGGGAAGCGCGGCGGCGCTCCCGCCCGAGGGTTCGGATCCCACATACAGACCGGTTCCTGCTCACTGGCTGAGCGAGGCGTGGGAGCAACACTGAGGGTTGCAATCCGTTGCCGGACACGGAAAAAAGACAAAAAAAAAAAAAAAGCACTGTATTTTGGGCCGGCCCGGTGGCGCACTGGATAGTGCGCTGCTTGGGAAGCGCGGCGGCGCTCCCGCCCGAGGGTTCGGATCCCACATACAGACCGGTTCCTGCTCACTGGCTGAGCGAGGCGTGGGAGCAACACTGAGGGTTGCAATCCGTTGCCGGACACGGAAAAAAGACAAAAAAAAAAAAAAAAAAAAAAAAAAAAAAAAAAAAAGCACTGTATTTCTAGTTATTTTTATGCATTTCGATGAGCATTTAAAATTAAATTTTGATAAAAATGTTACCCTACTCTCTGATATCACTTTCTAATTTGGAATGCTCCTGGCAACATAATTTAAATTTATTTTAATAATTAGGGATTTTTAAAAAAGAATGCAAATATCTTAATTCATCATTTAGCCATATAAAACATCCTTTAAAAATATATATTTAACATTAAGTATATCTAATTCTCTATGCATTTCATAAAGTAGATAAACAAAATTTCGGACACTCTGATTCGATGTTGCAATTTAATTGTATTTAAGATTTTAAACTCACCTCCTCCTTGTATCCAACCATTCCGAACTATTCGATGAAAAATTGAACCTTTGTAATGTAGCTTTATGCCACTTTGAGAATATCCTGCTTTTCCTGTGCATAAGACCTGAAAATTTTTACATGTTTTGGGACATGCATCACAGTATAGCTATAAAATAAAGATAACAGGTTTCAAAGATTAAATATTTAACATTTTGACAGTTATAGATCCTACCTCCCCAACTTATTAAAAAACAATAAAAACTTCTTACCTCAAAAACCAATCTTCCAATTGGAGAAATATCAATACTGATGTCCAAGAACACAAAATCATGCTATTAAAATTAGGGAGAAAACAACAATGCAGGTCAATGTCTTATAAGAAAGTTTTAGAAGTGACCAAACATATAAGAGATATGTTTTCAGTGGTAAGATTTCAACAGCATTATGGATAATAATAATGGATATAATGGATAACATGACAGAAAAATTAAATGAATGACTTAAAGAACTTTATTTATTTTATTTTATTGTTTTTGTAGCCTACATTACACATTTTAATGTACTGGCCAGCCACCAAAAAAACAAAACCAAAAAACCCTTCAGTAGCAAAGCTTTGCGCACAATTAACGTATCATGCAGGACTGACAGTCACAGGTGGCCTGAATATCCACTACATCACAAACTGAGTGTGAAAAGGAACACTAGGCAGTCCCCTTGGGGAAAGAAACAGACTGGGAATTCTTCTGTACTCTTTTCTTTCCTGAGTAGTTCTGGGAAAAGATCCTCTGTGAGTGCCATGAATTTGGTTACCATGTGTCCTGGATTTTCAGAGACAGCACAGATTAGCTACCCAGCACCAGGCCACATCCTTTTTGAGTGGGAAATTAAGGCCACTACATCCACAAGATGTGTGGCACCAGGGTTGGGGAAGAGGAGGCTGTGCTTTCCAGTTATATTCAATAATATCCTGATGTGCACAGATGCCCCCAGCTCTCGTTTTCACTTGATATGCTTTCTGGTAGAGATGAACTTTTGTGAGGCTGTGTCTAGCCCTATAGAGAAGCATCCAAAATGAAAATACTAGTCTTCATCACAATAGCATTCATTTAGGGGCCAGAGCACATCTAATAGCGTACATTTCAAATCTTGGGCACCTTTCTCATAGATAAAAATGCTACCTTATTTAACAAGGTGCATAACTTGCCCTGCCCTCTTTCTTAAGAATCTAGGAAACATAAATGAAATCATTTTAAATGTATCATATCATAATTTTATGTCACTCTAAACTTTTTTTTTTTTTTTTGTCCTTTTTGAGACCGGCTGCACCGAGCTCAGCCAGTGAGTGCACCAGTCATCCCTATACAGGATCCGAACCCGCAGTGGGAGTGCTGCTGCGCTCCCAGCGCCGCACTCTCCCAAGTGCACCACGGGCTCGGCCCCTAAACTTTTTTTTTAAATTAAAAGACTGAAATATTGTGCTGACATCCAGAAATAAAGTAGTACATCCATACTAATTATAATTGTGCCTCTCAGCTTCTGCACTACAAGTTCTTAATTATAAAAGAGAAAAACTAAAGAATAATCTAAAAGATAAACTAAAGAATAGATTATGGTAAATTTCACAGGCTTAGAAGGAAAAAGAGGATATACTGGAAATCATGGTTGACTTAGGAAATGAGTAAATCCATTCAGTCATCATTAAACTTCCCTGTGCATCAATGTATTATTGTTATGGGGTTGTCAAGAATAGATAATCCTGAAAATGCTAATGAAAAGAGATCAGATGGGCTGGCCCCATGGTGCACTCGGGAGAGTGCAGTGCTTGGGAGCACAGCGGCGCTCCCACCGTGGGTTCGGATCCTATATAGGAATGGCCGGTGCGCTCACTGGCTGAGCACGGTGTGGGTGACAACTGTTTATTCAATCAAACATTCACTGAGCACCTACTATGTTTCAGATCTGTTTGAGGCAGTGGTTAAATGAGGATGAATAAAAATTAATGAGATAAGGTCTGTGCCTTTGCATAGTTCAGATCTAGCACTAGGTCATTCTGTGGGCACAGGCCACCATGGGCAAGAAATAATTGTCAGCAAATGGCAGTTGCTCCTACAAGGTTTCTAAGCAAAGTTACAAAGTTCTTTTACCTCTCTTGCCATCCCACCCTGATGTCCATCTCTTGCCCCCTGGACCTCCTGCTTCATGACTCTCCTCTACCACTGGAGACCTCCCCACTGCCACAGCGTGTCTAGGCCTGCTCTCGCCACCTGTGTGTTGTGCTTTAAGATGTCACCTTTCTTCCCAGTCAAACTTTCCATTCTCTTAGTGCAGGAGCTCTCACCCAGGTGTTAGAAAGTTAAGATATTTCATACTAAAGATGAATGGATAGGCTTGATCTTCTCTGAGAGAGGTCTTTATATTTCAAAATGGGTATTTCATGTAACAAATCTCTAATAGAGAGTAGAAATGTTTGTACAGGGATGTTCTCCTTGCACAGCCCATCTGCTGTGAGATATGCTTGCTTTACACGCCACCAAGCTGAACCCGGCTGTACTGTAATCCTTTGCAACTGGATCATAACAAGGTCATTGAGGGCTTAAAACCTAGTCTCTACTCTTTTTTTTTTTTTCCTTTTTGTCTTTTTTACTGACCGGCAACGGGATCGCAACCCTCGGTGTTGCGCCCGCACCACGCTCAGCCAGTGAGCGGGAACCGGTCTCCACATGGAATCCGAACCCTCGGCGGGAGCGCCGCCGCACTCCCAAGCGGCACACTCTCCAGTGCGCCACCGGGCCGGCCCTAGTCTCTACTCTTTTACACCCTCTTATATCAACAATTAATGTTGAATCAATATAAATGATCAAAAATTCCACTACTTTTCTTTAAAAATTAGTGTAACTTGCCTTGGTGTCTCTTAGGAATTTAGTGGAATAGTCCAAAGTAAGTGCCTCATAAAGTGCAGAGGGCTTAGTATCCACTATATCCCACACCTTGTGGGCCCATGTCTGAAGATCAAACGCATCACCCAAGAGCTGATCGTTAACAAAACACATCACGTGAGAAGAATATTCCCAGGTTTCACTCTTGAGTTCCTGTAAAGGAAGAAGAAAAAAAAAAAATGTAATGGGGGAAAAAAAAACTTGCTAAACCCATAAGCCAGAGCTTGTGATCAATTCTAGGACTGCATTTGTCAACTGTAGGATTGAATCTTTTAAAAATAAGTTTTTATCATCCTTCAGAATTTTGCTCTCAAAAATAATTTTAAAACATTTTAAGAATCTGACATACCAAAAGCAAAGAATGATCTAAAAAGTAATCTTAAAAACATTACGGGCCGGCCCGGTGGCGCACTGGATAGTGCGCCGCTTGGGAAGCGCGGCAGCACTCCCGCCCGAGGGTTCGGATCCCACATACAGACCGGTTCCCGCTCACTGGCTGAGCAAGGCGCGGGGACGACACTGAGGGTTGCGATCCTGTTGCTGGTCCCCGGTCCGGTACGGGGGCAACACTGAGGGTTGCGATCCGTTGCCGGACACGGAAAAAGACAAAAGACAAAAAAAAAAAAAAAACGTTACAATCGGGCCGGCCCGTGGCTCACTCGGTAGAGGGCGGTGCTGATAACACCAAGGCCCCGGGTTCGGATCCCACATAGGGATGGCCGGTTCGCTCACTGGCTGAGCGTGGTGCTGACAACACCAAGTCAAGGGTTAAGATCCCCTTACCGGTCATCTTAAAAAAAAAAAAAAAAACGTTACAATCATAGAAGATATATGGTATTCTGGTTAATAAAAATCATTGTGCGCATAGCATACTTGTTATATTAACTTGCAAAAAGCCCGTCTCTGCTTTCATTAAGCACGTTTTACTGTGTGCATACTTGGAAAGGTGAGGGATTCTGGGTAAGTCATGGTTTTCAGTGCAAAAGATTAAGAGAATGTTTGTTTGATGGAGGTGGGTCACGGTTAGGAAATGCCTCCTGAAAGCCAGCAGGGATTTCCAGGGTACAGTGAGTGGCAGTAAGGAAGAAAACTCACCTTCCTCAACACTTTCAGTCCAAAGCCCCTCAAAATGAAGTGTGTTAGTGTTTCCATCCACACAATGCTGACGGTCAATCTCCTAAATTCCCAATATGTGGCCACTGAGTTACGTCTCCTCTGAGATCTGGTTTAGTATTGCCCAGTGCCAGCCCTGGCAAACAATGAGTAATTTGGGATAGCCATTCTGAAACTTTAGCAGGCAATCAGAATCACAGATTCCTGAGCCCCATCTGATTTTCTGATTCTGGGATGAGGCCTGAGAATTTGCATTTCTAACAACATCCCTGGAGGTACTGATGCTGCTGGTCTGGAGACTGCACTTGGAAAAATACTTGTTTGGGCAATAACTGACCCCTCAACTTGACAACTTGCTCCATTCTTAGCTCCTCTCTCAGGAGATTTAATAACCTATTGCTTGCTTTCCATGACCTTATCAAAACCTGCTTCCAGGCAGAGAATAAACTTGTTCATGCTGAGCTGTAAATCACTGATAGAGCCTAGGGGTCAATACTCCCTGGAGTGTTCATATTTATCAGTGTTATATTTTAAAGGACCCAAAAGTTAAAACAGGGGAAAAAAAATTAATTGTGGATATTTTAGTTAGCCTGATGGGAGAAATGCAATAGAAGGTACATTTTATTTGTAGGCTGAATATGTAAATGCCCTGTCTTTATCTCTTCTGTACAGAAAGAGACCTCCTCACCCGCCTCAAGATAGCAGGCCAGACCTGATGGTTTCTAGTGCTTTCCAGCACTAAGACTGGATGCTGCCTTGCTTAGAGGGGAAGAAGAGGCCTTCCCAAAGTCCCTGACACCATCTCCTTAAGTGGCATTGCATTCTGCTGAAGTATAAGGCCAGGTAGACCCAATGAATTGATTCACAGAGAACAAATGTGCTAAGAAGCACTATACGTAACATAAAGACACAATACTTACATTGAAGAAGGGTGAAAAAGTAACTAAATAAAACTGGCCTGAGAAGGAAGAGAATGTTAAGGTGACAAATATCCAGAGGCTGAGTGCGGGAGAGGGAAGAAAGGAAGGATAAGGAAGGAAGTATAGGTGGAAAGCAGCAGCAATAATAACTAGAAAGTCTCAATCAAGAGAGAGGCAGGAGGAAAAGAAGACAACCAAGGCTGAAAAAAGAGGGGACCTGGGGAGCGGAATCTACACCCGTCTCTAAGAGTACAGTGGGAATATGCAAGAGGAGCAGGTACAAACCACAAACCATGAGATCTTAGTTCTCCTGTAGGCAGAGAGCATGATACTGGTAGGCGGTATAACAAGTTTGGTGATAAAAATTAAGAAAAAATATATTGTTTTGTGTCAGGGTGATCAGCTGTCCCAGTTTGCCTAGGACTGTCCAAGTTTTAGCACTGAAATTCCCACATCTTGGGAAACTCCCCAGTCCCAGGCAAACAAGAACCATTGGTTACCCCAGTTATTGTAAGGATTAGAATTTTTATATGTGTATGTGTGTGTATACACAAATATATGTGATTAGAATAGTGTCTGGCACATAACGAGCACCATATTTAAGTGTTTGCTATGGTTCTATTTGAATGCCAATGAAAATGTTTTATGACTATGAAAGTATGAGACTTAGCAAATGGTATTCTTGACTCAGTTTTGCACTGTTCATGTGACAGCAGAGAGTGAAGTGTTCTCATAAAGCTAAAGCAACACCATCTACATCATACTTAATCATAGGACGTCATTGTGCAACCAAGCACAGAACAGTCAAAACTGCTCTGGCCAGGAAAAATGAGATTTCATCAGCTGCTGGGCAGATGCGTGAGGCAGAGAAACCAGGACTGGAACCCTCTATGGGACTAGGTGATCAGGGATGACAAGCAGGACACGTACCCCATTCCACCCTCTCCACCATGAGATGTTGCTAAGTAAGGATGCCACCTTAAAATCCTTCTCATCACATGCTCCAGGCAGCACTCCCAACCCATCAGGTTGGCACCCAAGAGAAAACCTACGCATCATCCCTGGACGAGCTCTGCTAGGCCTAAGGTCTGAGGTTCTTTGGGTACTATCAGAGGGGAGAATGCAGAGAAGGAAGTGTCAGCTAGGACAAGGTTGCCCTGTGGGAACTTGGTGCCTGTCATCAGAGTTCCCATAGGCAACAGTACCACACAAGCCCCCCTGCTACTTCTGTAATGTACACCACCAACACTTTCCAGAGTGAGGGCCAAGAGGAGTGCCAGGCCACAGTGATCTGAATGCCAGGGTGACACAGGATGTGTGAGTATGTGACATGCAGGGAGAAAGGGGTAACCACGAGCAGAGGTAATTAGCACCACTGAGATTTAAACTTACCTTTATCATATGACTTCCAAAAGAAAAATCCTAGGAATATTTTACTTTTTTAATAAATCAGCTTGGTAAAATGATTCACTTAATTTAGGAAAAGCGTATAATTTAGAGAAATAAAATATAGTTGCACTAAAATCACTCTTTTGGTTTTTCCAAAACAATGCATAGATAAATAAGGCAAAACTGTGCTTGTTGTCAATATCCCCCACACCCAAAATATCCTTTACCCTTTTTTTCTCCTGTAGATATTGATCCCATGCAAATTCTTGAAGAGGAACTATTATAGGTTCTTCAAATTTGGATGGATAATTATTCTTCAGACTCTAGGTTTCAAAATAGAATAATTAGAGTAAGTTCTCTTTGAAAGCAGAAATCATTTCACCCAATTTTTATGGGGTTTCCAGGAACTTTTATACAACACACACCCAGGCCACACAGTCTCATTGCTTGCTCCCAAAGGCCTCTGTGCTTACCTCCAAGTCGCCCCAATCCACACCGACGCTTGGGCTTATTTGTCTCTCACCTTTAGAGTATAAGTTCCTTGAGGGCAAGGACTATGTCTTAGTCTTCCTATATTCCCACCTGCCACAACATCCAGCATATGGTGGACCAACCACACATAGCAACTGAATAAACAAATGATCAAATAAATGAGTTTATGCCAATACTTGTGTGGTCAGCTGTTCTTTTAGGACTAGTTTTTCCCTAAATTATAAACTCTTGTTAAACCTCAGTTGATCTGCAGATACTGTACTCATAACTACAATAAATGTTATTGCTTTAATTCATTGGTATTCAGAGAATGATTAAAAGGATATTGTTGTGACTATACCCCTTAGGAAAAGGAATTAAACACTAAATAAGTTTAGGTGTAGATATTGAGTATGTTTTGATTTAACATATACTGTTTTGTCTGTACCAAACAGAGAAAATTCTTACTAGTTAGCAATCCCTGTCAAAAAAGAAGTTTTGGTTCTCAACATTAGTCACACTTTGCCTTCTCTAAAGCAAGTGAAGGAAAGTGAGGCAATAACAATCAGGCCTCACTTTGCTGCATGGCTCTGAGAAACAGATGCTCCAACAGGGAAAAGTGACAGCCAGCTAAGGACAGTGCTTGGAAGGCATGTGGAGGTCTAAAAGAGAGCAATGGCCTGGCATGCTTCATCAGGGGTGAGCATTCCACAGGGGAGAAAGCCAAGACATGAGCATATCCTACTCTAGGAACATTCAACAAGAGGCAGCAATCGGGCCATTTTTTTTCACAGATGTCATGCCCTGTGTCTTGTTTCCAGTGTCTGTGCTCAGTTTGAGGCAATCCTGCAGGATGACTGTTGTTTCTGAGGAACCATGTGGAATAACTAATAAGCCCAATAGTTTTTAAATTAAGCACATCACACTCTTTTTCATAATTTAGTACCTGTTCTAGAATGGACTACATCCAAATTAAAATGTATGTAATATTTCCTCTTCACAAATCTAAATCTTTGCCAATTAATCAGGCATCTGGGATTGCTCACAAAGTATCATGTTGGGAATATATTCAAATATTCTTTATTAAGGCAGAACTGAGTTTACATTGATGTTTTCATAGTCAAACAGAGCTAAAGTAAGCAAAAGCTTAAGAAAGGGAAAATTAACATTAGCAATATAATAAAGATAATGTTTTCTTGACTTAGAATCCTCTACAGCAGGGGTTGGCTAACTGTGGCCAGTGGGCCCTTTCTGGCCTATTGCCTGGTTTTTTTTTTATCATTCATTTTTTGTTGTTGTTTTTGGCAGCTGGCTGGTAAGGTGATCTAAACTCTTGACCTTGGTATTATAACATCGCGCTCTAACCAACTGAGCTAACCAGCCAGCCAGCCCTTCATTGCCTGTTTTTGTAAGGCCTGAAAGCAAAGAATAGTTTTTATATTTTTAAACAGTTGAAAAAAATCAAAAGAATCATATTTCATGTCATGTGAAAATTATATGCAAGTCAAATTCACTGTCCACAATAAAGTTTTATTGGAACACTGCCAATCATTTACATGTCTATAACTGCTTTTGCAGCATAAGAATAAAGTTGAACAGTTGTGAGTGAGACTCTATGACCCAGAAGACCTAATATATTTACTACCTGAAAATTATTTACAGAAAAAAATTTGACAACACATTCTCTATAGTGTGGAGGAAGCACAGAAAACATGATCCTTCAAAAAAGATCCTAAGAAAAAAAAGAACAACAACAAAAAAATCTCTCAAATTCAGATACAACTTTGGCCATAAGATGTTGCTGATGCCATCAGCCCAGTCAATATAGCCCATAATTTCTACTTCTTTTGATGATCCATATATCATTTCACAGACTTCTGATTACTTGTTTTCTTCATCTTGATGTAAACTTTACCTATTTTGTAAATTAGTTATTTTCCTGATTTGATTTTATTACAAACTTTTCTTTAACTCTGTGAACTCTGGCGCAGATAAGAAGGCAGGGATTTCTTGAGATAAATTCTATTTGGGAACATTTTGTTGTCCCGCTGGGTACCTTGGGACATACAAACATAATTAAGGAATGGTCCTCGGGTCTAGTGAGGTTTTGGTGATAAGCCTGGCATAGACAGCATTTCTACAGCGATCCCCAAAGTACCGAATTTCACATTTCAACATTTCATACATGTCTACATTTCTGCATTCAGCTTGTAAGTGTGCTGCAGCATGACTGATCTTACACTTTCTTCAAGTGTTTTTCCTTTTATGTCATCCTGTGTGTTTGCAAAGAAATGTTTGAATTTTCCAAAGCACTTGTGGGCCATTGACTAAGATATCCGTGAAGCATCTAATTCTATTACAATGCAGTGACTGCGACAGAAAATTTAAAGAAAAGAAACTTTCCGAATGGTTTTCAAAAATCACTTGGGGACGGAGTTTGTAAAAATACGGTAACACTTTTCCCTAACCACCTTTTTCATGAATTTAAAAATCTATAATTTAATAAAAAATTAATGTGGAATAAAATGCGTGAATTTGTAGAAACCTTCTGAACACTTCCTTCGGATCTCCCTTTAAAGGTCGCCCTCCTGGATATCGGACGTCCGCCCGGGACCCGCACTTGCCGGCTACACGCTCCTCCGGATCATCCAGACTGAGCCCGCTCAGCCGTGAGAAGCCCGACCCTCCCTTGCCCGTAGAGCACCGGCCCTCGCCAACATTAGGGGGCGCGGGGGGCTCAGTCCACGCAGCCGAGGCGGGAAGGGGAGGGCCGCCTGCGCCTGCGGTTTCTTGGCGGTTACCTCAGCGGTGCTCTTTGCAATCTGAAAGCTGGAGCTTTTGAAGAACCCCACCACCGTCACTTGCCGCGGCCGTTCGGGCGGCGGCTGCGAACCGCACTGGACAGGCTTGGGCCGGCACGGCTGCGGGTTCGCCATGGCCCCGCTGGGGTACTCTGCAGAAGACGAAACACAGCGCGTCGCCACAGAAACCTCGGGGCCCCGCCCCCGACGCTTGCAGGGGGCGGGTCCAGGGCGGGGCTGAGGGCGGGCGGTGTCGGCGAGGACTTTCCTCAACTTTGCGCCTGTTGCTGGTGAGTCCGGCGAGGGTGCGCGGGCGGCCGCGGCCAGGGAGGAGCTGAGGGGAGAAGTAGCGGGGAGCCGCTCGCCCGGGCGCCCCTTCGGGACCCCCAGGGTCCTTGCGCGCGGCCCTCGCCTAGCCGTTCGCGCCCGGATGTCGCGGCGGATCGCCTTTCCGGGTTGGCGGACAGCCAGATCCGGGCCGGCCGGCCGGTTGCCCGAGTAACGCGGTAGTCTGGCCTCGGCCGGAGCCGCACGGGGCTGGGGAGCGCGGGGACTGGGCCGGCCACCTGTGCGCTCCGCCCCGGAAGGAGGCACGGCCCGGAGGAGGCGTAGCCGGCCCGCCCACGCCCACACCGCAGCCGTCGCCGGCCTGGCAGAACCGTCGCGTGCCCCGGAGCGCCTCCGCCATGAAGCCCAACTTGTGTCTGCGACTGAGGGTCTTTAACCTCAACTTCTGGTGAGTGCGTCCGCGGAGGGCGGTCGGGGGCCACCCTCCCACTCGCACCCACTCAGCCAGAGGGAGGAGGCCTTCCTCAGAGACGGGCCACCGCCCTATCCTGCGACCTTAGGATGCAGGGGGAACCCGAACCTCCACAAAGCCCACATCTGGCCCTAGCTCCGGTGGAGCCAGCAGTCACCTTCCGTGGCCCGGCCCTTCCCTTCCTTAGGGGCATTCCCTACCTGAGCAAGCATCGGGCCAACCGCATGAAGCGCCTGGGAGACTTTCTGAACAAGGAGAGCTTCGACCTGGCTCTACTGGAGGAGGTGCGGATCCCCGCTAGGGGGAGGGCAGCTGGGGGCGCAGGAGGGGACTTTCCCTCTGGGGCAAAGGTCAGGCAGGCACCCTCACCCCTTCCCTCAGGTGTGGAGTGAGCAGGACTTCCAGTACCTGAGACAGAAGCTGTCGCTCACCTACCCAGCTGCACACTACTTCAGGAGGTGAGAAGCCCACCGACCTGAAGCCTGTTCTCAGTCCAGGAGACTCCTGGTCTGCTAACCCTTCCCTTTTCTACCTGTACCCTGCTCCCTTTCCCCCAGCTTCTGGGTGTTGGAGGAGCCCGTGAACCAGAAAGATCCTATCTCTTCAGTCCATTTTAGCCCTATTCTGTTGCCTTTATTCTGGGGCTGGCCCCAGCAGTTGAGAGAGAGAAAAAAAATAGCTGATGAGAACTGGGAGACAAGGGAGGGGAAGGGCTGGGTGTCTCGCTCCCTGTTTTTCTGGTTAGTAAGCAGCGCTTGGCTTTCAGCGGAGTCATTGGCAGCGGCCTGTGTGTCTTCTCCAAACACCCAATTCAGGAACTCACCCAGCATGTCTACACCCTCAATGGCTACCCCTATAAGGTAAGCCTGACCTCTGACCTCTTCCATCTCTTCCCCACCCCCACTAACACAAGGTAGAGGAGGCTGCCCTCCTAGGGCTGCAGTGGATGGGCAGAAAGAGGGTAGCAGTGCCCTGAGTTCCTGCCTCCTCCCGCGTGCAGATCCATCATGGTGACTGGTTCTGTGGGAAGGCTGTGGGGCTGCTGGTGCTCCATCTAAGTGGACTGGTGCTCAACGCCTACGTGACACATGTGAGTGAAGCCAGTAGTGCTTAGGGCTGGGACAGGCAGCCCAGTCCGGGGGGACCGAGAGATGGCATTCCTCTAGCTAGGCTGCCTGGGGGTAAGGTGTGGGGCAGGATCTCCTAGGGTAGCAGTGGGCAAGTTTCACTCATTCTATACCAAACACTACATCAAGTGATAAACACAAGCTTGATCTAGACCTGCCCCCGGGAGCCTCAGTCTTCTCTGCTGTAATCTCATCTATCTTATTCAGCTCCATGCAGAGTACAATCGACAGAAGGACATCTACCTAGCACATCGTGTGGCCCAAGCTTGGGAACTGGCCCAATTCATCCAGTGTGTGAGCCTGGGCTTCACAGGGGAAGTGGGATGGGATCCCAGGGCTGAGGGATGGCCAAGGCCCCACTTATAGGCCAGAGCTATTGAGGGAAGAATTCTTGCCTCACCATCCTGGCTCCCCCAGCCACACATCCAAGAAGGCAGATGTGGTTCTGTTGTGTGGGGACCTGAACATGCACCCGAAAGACCTGGGCTGCCGCCTGCTGAAGGAGTGGACGGGGCTGCATGATGCCTATCTTGAGACCAGGGACTTCAAGGTGAAGCCCTGCCTCATTATTTTCCCACCTACACTCCCAGCTTCTTTCCCTCCTCCTTCCCCTGATAATTAGCAAGAGCTAATTATTCCCCTAGGGCTCTGAAGAAGGCAATACAATGGTACCCCAGAACTGCTACGTCAACCAGCAGGAGCTAGAGGCATTTCCCTTTGGGATCCGCATTGACTATGTGCTTTACAAGGTCAGGCTCCTCTCTTCAACATGCCTTCACCCACTGTGTCTCTTCGTCTGTTACCAGCCTGTGCTGATCTTTTGTCTAGCAAGTCTAGCCTGGCTGGAGAATGAGAGAGCTGCAAGCTGGTTCTCAGGGAAGAGGCCCTCATCTATAAGTTCCTCTCTCGTCCTTACTCTTCTAGGTGGTTTCTGGGTTCTACATTTCCTGTAAGTCTTTGGAAACCACTATAGGTCATGACCCTCACAGCGGCACCCCCCTCTCTGATCACGAGGCCCTGATGGCTACTCTGTGTGTGGGGCACAGCCCTCCCCAGCAAAACCCCAGCCCTACCCATGGTGAGTCAACCACCCCCTTTCCCTGGTCCTTCCCATCCCAAGGCACCCCATCCACTCTCACCCTCTCCCACCCCATTGCCCTGCCTTTTTATAGGACCAGCAGAGAGGTCGCAGTTGATCGATGTGCTAAGGGAGGCCTGGACAGAGCTGGGTCTGGGCGTGGCTCAAGCTCGTTGGTGGGCCACCCTCGCTGGCTATGTGATTGGTCTGGGGCTGCTTCTCCTGGTGTTGCTGTGTGTCCTGGGGGCTGTAGGAGCCAGGGAAGCTGCCATATTGCTCTGGAGCCCCAGTGTAGGATTGATGCTGGTGGCAGGTGCAGCCTACCTCTTCTACATGCAGGAGGCCAGTGGCTTATGCAAGGTCCAGGCTGAGCTCCACCATGTGCTGGGAAGGGCAAGGGAGAGCCTCGACCAGCCCTGCTCCTGGGACAGCAGCAGGGGAACAGAACTGAGAAACAATAAAGTTTGATACTTTAGTGGCTCTGCCTTTTTCCTTATAGAGGCAGTGTGATTGTCACAATGTAGACCGGAAGGCCCCTATACATCTGCCCTCCCTACACATCCTCCACCTCCCTCTTACAGACAGCCTAAGCCCTGTTTGTAGCAGAAACATTTTTATTGTAAACAGTGAGGCCTTCTCCCAGGCAGCCCAGAGAAGCAGGGGTGGCACTGTCCTGGGGTGAGCTTGTCTTCCTTGTAGGGAAGAAGGCAGGTAGGCCACCCTTTTCTAGCCCTGGACCCCGGTCCCTGAGGCCAGCTCACTGAGCCTGCGCTCTTCCTGGAAACGGATGAGGGCATCTCGCTGGTTCACCACATCCACTAGCTTCCTCAGGACCTGGTCCTCAGCCTGCCGATCAGCAGCTGTCTTTAGAGCTTCTAAAGGGAGGAGACGAAGCTTAGAGAACAGGAAACTGGACAGGGAGGCAGGAGAGGGACAACCTAATTCGGGACTGTGTGATTTCTACAACTCAGTCTGTTTCCTAATCTGCAAAATTAGGAGGTTCGTCAACACCAATGGTTTTGTAGCATTATTTAGCAGCAGGACTGTTTTTGGAGGAAATCTTATATTAAAAAGCCCATATATGGGCCGAGCCCGTGGCGCACTCAGGAGAGAGTGGCACTGGGAGCACAGTGACGCTCCCGCCGCGGGTTCGGATCCTCTGGGAATGGCCAGTGCACTCACTGGCTGAGTGCCGGTGTGGGCGACACCACACCAAGGGTTGCGATCCCCTTACGGGTCACGAAAAAGACGAAAAAAAAAAAAAAGCCCATATATATTGTGTAGCTCTGTTTGAATTGAAGGGGGAGACGGGGCTTTGGAACCTCATCCTCTGGCTTCTTTCTGAATTGACTGGGAGGTACATGCACTAGAGGACCATGTTGCTTGGTCAGTATTTGAGATCACAAGGCTTGTGCAGCACCAGCTCTGTGATATGACTGCCTCTGCCCACATCCCGTCTACCTTCCCGATTCATGTAGCTTCGTAGCTTTTGGTCCAGGTGCCACTGTTTCTCCTCCAGTTTCAGCTCCTGCACCCTGCAGAAGTCAGATTGAAGAGGCACAGCTGTCCAGGGTGCCCAAGGAGATGGGGCCTGGCTCATGTGCTACTGTCACTGTCCCCTGGCTCTTACGTGATCATGAGCTCAGCCTCCTCAGCCACCAGGCTGTTTTTCTTCTGAACAAGCTGTAGCAGCTGTTCTAACCATAGTTCCTTTTGCTGTTCTGGGGAACCTAATAAGAAGGAAGAGGGGTGGGGGGTGGTCAGGAGGTCTTCAGCTAGGGTCACAGGAGTCATGGGCCTAGGGGTGACAGGATCCAGGGAAGGAAGAGTGTTATGGGTATGAGTGTCGAGAACTGTTTGGCACAGGCATTGGGCCTGCTATTGGCCAGAGCCTAGTGGCTTGAGGGACTGCTGGAGGCTGAGCACAGAGCTAGGAGGCAAAGGGGTGTCCTAACCTGTCCCTCCTGTCTTTACTTACTGCTCTGGCTCCTCAAGGCCAGCTCTAGCTTCACGCCCTCAGCCTCCAGCTCTCGCAGAGCAGCCTCAATCTCATTTTGTCGTCGCTGGATGGCCTGAGGGGGACAAGACAGGAGGCCCAGAGATCTTTGGAACAGAACACTGGAGGAGCTCTGATCCCAGTCTCAGAACTCTGACCATGTCTGAACTTTCAGGAACCCCTGGGCCTCACCTGGGCCTTGCAGAACCTCTTCATCTCCTCCTCCTTAGCATGGCGCAGCAGAGTCCGACGCCATGTTGGGTACTTCTTCATGGTGCCTGAGTTCTTGGCCAAGGTCAGCAGGGCCTGTGGTAGGGAGGATCAGGCCAGTCAAGGGTAGGGCCTGGCACCCTGGTGGATAGGAATGGGAGAAGCTCTGTTTGGAAGGGCAGAAAAGAACCTGGACTGGAGTCGGGTAAGTGCTGGTAGAAAAGATGGAAGAGACGTGAAATTCAGACTGGGTGAGAAGACATTCCAAGAGAAAGGCTCTGAGGAGGGAGCGTGGTATAGGTTTCTCCGTGGCAGGGCTGGAGAGTAGTGGATGTATGCTGGGTCGGGCAGAATAGGGGACCAGCTTCCTCCCACTCACCTGCTCCATGTCTGAATCCAAAGCCACATCTTCCTCTTCTTCCTCTTCACTGGAGGAGGAGCTCTCTTCCTCCTCCTCCTCCATGGCCACAGGAACTGAGCAGAAGAGAGGAAGATACAGCCTAGGATGCTCAGGACCTCCCTATTCCCCAGAATTCCCCTTCAGAAATCTCAGTCCTCCCACTCCATCCCCACTCAGGGTCAGCATATCTGTGGGAAGAGCAGTTACCCGGAGGTCTCTGGACTGGCACGCCCCAACCCGCAAAGCTGCCCTCCAGGGCCTGGCGGGCCAAGGCAGACCAGCTGCGGGGAGGCTTAGGTGGGGGCTCCATTGCCGGGTCAGGGGTAAGGTTAAGAGAGGACAACCGCTGGCGTTCCAGGCTGGAGAGGCGGATCAGCTGACGGGTGGGCTGGCTCGGGCTTGGAACAGGACTGGCCTCCTGCAAAGCTGGGGGAGTCGAGGGGCCCGACGGCGTACTGTTCTCACCTGGTGTGGGGAGATCCTGGAAAAGCCACCACGTGGTCTGGTAACCTACCCAATTACTTTGGAGCAAATGTGGGCCCTGGCATTCATTCACTTAACACCATTTATTGAACAGCAGCAGGCAGTGTTGTAGATATTTGGGATATGACAATAAGTAAAACAAGACAAACATCCCTACCTTCCTGGAGCTTATATTGTAGTTGAGGACAACATTCAGTTACCCTGCAAAGTCTGCTGAGCTGGAGAGACTCCTCTCCTCTTTCTCATGCCCCAATACACATGCACACGCTTTCAGATTTTACCGGACTCTCAGGGCCTCCGTTGCTGCTGTCCTCTTTGTGGCCTGGCTGGGGCAGGTGCTGGAGGCAGTAGAAGTGTCCTAGGCAGGGTGGAGAGGGGAGGCAACATCAGTTGCAGGCAGCCCAGTGCCCAGATGGCTGCTCAGAGTTTATCAAAGAAGGTGGGGCAACAGGGCTCTGAATTTGCAGGTGAATTTCTGCTAGCCTCCTGGTTCTCAGAACCCCACATCTGGAGCTTTGGAGGGGACAAAGACTCTGAGCTCAGGGGGAGAAAGTACCATCTTGAGACTTTCCACCTCATGCCCAGCACCCTTATTCCCCTCCACCTTCATGCTCCTTGCCTCCTGGGCATGGACAGGCCCAAAGTCCCTCCAGAGGTTTCCCAGGCCCACTCACCATCTCCTGGGTGCTGCCCGTAGCCACCTGGCCACAGCGTGGCCTCACACGTATGGCAGCGGAAACAGCTCCGGTGGAAAAAACGGCCATTGGCACAGAGGCGTTCCAGGATATAGAGGTGTTCCCCACAAAGTGCACACAGGTCCCTGTCACCAGCCTGCACAGACGCGTAGGACACAGGATCAGCTGCAGAGTTCTCTTCCCCTGAAACATCCTTCCCTACCCTCTGCAGGTCTCTGCTTATAGACAGGGCCTTGGCTTTTACCTCCTGGTGTTGGGATGGTGGTGTCAGGGGTACACTGGGTTCTGGGACAGGTGGCTCCTCAGTACTTAGTGTACCAGCTTCTACCTAAGGAGGTAAGTGCTCAGGCCAGAGGGAAGAGGGACAGGATCAGCTGGGAGTGGGTGTGTGCAGATGAACAGAAAGGGCTGAAAAGGGGAGTGACTAGGCAGGGAAAGAGGGGACTCATAGGACCTGGGGTAGGTAGCAAAACATGGGGGGACGGGACACAGGGAAGACAGTACCCAGGGAAGGGGAACAGAACATGGGGTGGGGAGCTGTCCAGCCTCTGCCTGCATTTACCTCCAAGCGCTGCTTCTTGCCACCAGCATCCTCCCCATTTTCCTGCAACAAGTCCTGAAATTCTGAGCATAAGTCTCTGAGACCCAATCCTCCCTTTCCCCCATTCTGAGTGTCCTCCTCATGGTCACTCCGGGGATCTCCACTGGGTACCCCTTGCCCAGCTCCAATCCTGCCCAGACTCTCTACCTTGACCCGGGACCGTTGCAGAGTCCTCTGGAGTTTGCCAAGGAATAGTACAGCACTGGAAGTCCCCGGAGAAGCTTGGCTGACAGGGCCTGCAGGGAGAGTCAGGGTGCCAGGGTAGATGGTGGAGGGAGCAATACTGTACCCTCAGAACAGCCACTCCAGCCCAGAAGGACACTTTTCCCAGGTTGGCCCCCAGAGGGCACATTCTCCCCCTCACACACACATCCCCCTCCCCACCCTACCCCTGTCCCACCTGCCTGCCCTCCAAGTCACCTGGGCTGTGAGGCATGCTCTTGAAGGCACTGTGGAAGTGGCTGAGGTAGGCGATGAGGCCTAGTGGGTCGCTCCCTGCCACCACTGCCTGTGCGGACAACACTGGCGTGATACCCAGCTCATGCTCTGCCACCTTCAGTGCCCATGCAGTCACTTCCAGAGCCCCCAGCCCCTGCAGCTCTGAGTGTTCCCTGTGGGGTGTTGGGGAGAGAAGCCAATGGGAGACAAGAACCCCTGGCCCCACTGAGCGGGATAGAGGTGGAGAGTTAGGGCCAGCAGGCAGGGACTGGGGACTGCAAAGTGAGGAGAGAGCATGAAGGTTTGTTCTCTCTGCTACCACAACCTCCCAATCCAATGACAACTGTTTCTGGCTTTGGGGACCCTCTACCACTCAAAAAACCTCCCCTATCTGAACGCATTTGATTCTCACAAGACTCAGGCAGGCTTCAGGCAGGACTACTACCTCTAGGGAGGCCAAGTGACAGGTGGGAGTGGTGGGGCTGGGACTGAACTGGGCATGCTAACTCCTACGCAGTGATCTCATCTGCCTGCCGTGAAGTGGAGAGGGGCAGGGGCATGAAAGAGAGGTGCAGTCTGCCAGGGACTCACAGCAGGCCAGGCCGCAGCTGGTGCACCAGGGCACACAGTGCTAGTCCGTCAACCCAGGAGGAAGACAGGTCAGTGACATGGACTCCCGGGTAACCAGCTGTCTGCTCCTGGCACCAGCGTAGCAGCTCCTCCTGGGTGCCCACTGACCCTGGGAGAGAAGGCTGCGCTGTGCCCAAGGCCCCCTCTGCCCACACCTGGCTCACAGGAAGCCCAGATGTGAGGTGTGGGGGTCTGTATGGGAGGTGGCACCAGGGACCCATCCCTCCTGGGGCACCAATCTAACAGTGTTAGCAGCACCTCCTTCATCCCAACCTTTTCACTGAAAACATCCCTCTTTGGAATAAAGGGGGAATGGATAAAGCCACACAGAGGCGAGCAGGCAGTGAAGTGAGGGGCAAAGGTGGCTTGGAGGCTGAAAGGCAAGGAAGGTTTGGGATTTGTGAGGCTGGGCAGAACAGCTGAGGAGAGCACAGCACGGCCACCATTCAGTGCTGTTCCTGCTGTAGTAGTTGTTGCGACACTGAACTACTTCCATACAGATGGGCAAGCAACGGGCAGAACAGCTGAGGAGAGCACAGCACGGCCACCATTCAGAGCTGTTCCTGCTGTAGTAGTTGTTGCGACACTGAACTACTTCCATACAGATGGGCAAGCAACTGCTGCTCATACCCTGCTGCCCCTCCATGCCTCCAGGAGGCCCTCAGACTGCCCACCATCCAGCACTGGGCACTCCAGCACACTGCTCCGACCTCAGGCTGCAGCTGCTCTCACAGTACTTCCTGTGCTGTGCCTGCTGGTGCAGGGGACATATTTTGGACATCCCCCTGGAGAGAGGCCTGCTCACCGGTGGCTGGCTTCCCTGTGTCTGTCTTGTCGCTCTTCTTCCGCACAGGCTCCTTGGTCACCACGTCATACAGATCTTGTACCTAAGGCAGCCCCTCTCAGGTTTCAAGGCAGACTGACCACACAGCCCCTCAGTCCATGAGGGAGGGGCCCACCGGGGTATGACTGACCTGGGAGGGGAGTGACTAGGCAGGGGAGGTCTGACCTGGGGGAAGGAAGCTGACTTGGGAAGCCTGGTGGGGGTGCCAGGTGGTCTAACCTGATTGGGAGTCACGGCCCGAAGGTTCAGGTTGGGGTAGCGGGTGGCTGGATCCAGCCCATACTGGGCCACATTGCGGTGCATGTTTTCCGGGGATGTTTGTGACAGAAGCTGGTACAGGCTCTCACTGAGGGGGTGAGGATGGAGGCAGGGGCATGAATGGGAGGGCACCTGTCAGCACCTACCCCTCAAAAACTGCCAGGCCTTTCCTTTCTTTTCTTTTTCCCATGCCCCCATCTATTCATTCAGCATTCCCCTGTCCCTCTTCTTAACCCTGGCCTATATTCTACGCTGCCCACACACCCCCACCCCTGCCCCAAACTCAGGCCTTACCGCTCAGCCAACACCTCTAGGGGCCCAGTGCCCTCTGCCCACTGTTTCACCATCCAGGCTGCATCAAAGGCTGCCAAGAAGCCCCGAGCCACTCCAGTGCCCAGGGGCCAGAAGGGCTGCAGAGTCAGAGGAAGAGAAAACAGCACCCCAAGCCCAGATAACCCTCAAGGTCATAGCAGAGAGGGGCCCTCACCACACCAGGCAGCCTTTCACCTTCCACAAGCTAGTCCTTAGGCAGCTTCCTCCTTCTCCCCCATTCTTTTTTTACCCTCCCCCATTAGGCAGCTTCCTCCCCCAACCATGGGTCCCCTGTACTCTGCAAACACCTCACCTCCACCAGGCAGTCCCCCACCAGTCCCAGCAGCAGGCGGGAACCGTGCTTCTCTTGCACACGGGCAGAACTCTCTGCCCGCATCATGCTTGTGAAGTCAAAGGCAGAGACATCAGGCCGCCCGTGGGCATCCTTGGCAAACTCTAGTTTCCCGAGCTTGCCATTGGTAGCGAAGTCAGCAGCTGCCCGGGCAAAGCGCTGCAGAGCCTCGGGCACCACATTGGCACTGCCCAGCAGCCGATCGGTCTCCTGCCAGTCCTACATGGCCAACATATCAGAACCTCTGATCTCTCTGAGAGCAGGATTAATTGGCCAGTCCCATCCCCTTGAGGATAGAAGGTACACATACTGAGGCCTAGAGAAGGGAAGGGGCCGCCCCAGACTGCACAGCAGTTGAAGGCTGAGCTGGAACTAGAATTCTAATGGTCTGCCTTCTGAGCTCAAGCACCTTCCTCAGTATTCACCCTGCTGTTGGGGGTCCCAGGCTCTGCTCTGCCCATGAAGCCCAATATTACTATCGTACACTTGCCACTGAACTTCTCTCAGAGCCAAGGTTTGTCTGTCATTTAGAGACAACATACCGAACTTATCAAGGTACTCATAATTAGATGAAAAATACAAATTAAGCTCTTAACATATAATCTAGCACATTGTAGGCACTCAACTAGTTCATTCACTTAGCAAATACATATTGGGCATTTACTACATATTAGGCACCATTCTAGGCACCAGGAATTAGCAGCAAACAAGAGATAAAAATTCCTGGCCTCATGGAGCTTACATTTGTATTACTGTGGCTGGTATAAGGCAGTTAGCCCAGAAAATTATTCTGATGCCATGTAAGTTATTCTTCTTCCCAGGGAAGAAGAGTTTGTAGAGGTGGAGTTAATGCCAGGGCAAAAGCAGGAGGAATGGGGCCCCTCCGCACCCAGATATAGACTGTGTCCTGGCCTGTCCTCCACCTCCCAAGGCCCACTCCTGCCCTCTCCCTTCCTGGGCCTGGCCCCAGTCCCTACCTGGCGCAGCACCCCTAGCCGCAGCAGGCATTGCTTTTTGGCTGTCATCACAAAGTAGTGGGTGTCGTCCTTGTAGTACACAATGTTCTCTAGATCAATGCCTGGGGGGACAGGGCAGAGGACAGGAGATGTATTTCCTCCTGATTATGTGTCACTTCTCCAAACACCCTAGCCATGGCCTGACCTCTGAGAGCTGAGATCACAGCTTAGACTGCCCTACACACAGAGCCCCATGAGTCCTGGTGGCATAAAGGACCATCTATCTGTTCCAGGCCCAGGAGACCTGAGAGCTTAGAGCAAAGAGAGAAACTTGGGTGGGGTGGCAGGTGGGAGACCTGCACCATGTGGTCACATGGCAGTGAGACATCAAAGGAAACAAGGGCATCTTCTTGAAGTGCCACTTTTGTTTCCAATTTACATCATTTTCATATCAAAGCATAAAGGAACACAAAGCAAAACTCCCATGCATTTCGTGAGAGATTTCCAGGACTTTGCATGCTGGGTGGCCAAGTAGGGTTGTGCCTGCTTAATACCTGGACAGGTTCTTTCTCCTTTGCTGCCAAAACTATAAAGATGAAAAAGTCCTGAGTCCAGGTCTGAGAAGGAGCGGCATCAGCCAGTCCACAGTCAGGCAGGGGGAGGAGAAACCCAGAGAGGGGCCCTGACCTGTGGCTTTGAGCAGGCTCTGGAAGAAGCTCTGGTTGTAGATCCTGGCTACGCCGCTGATCTCAGGCACCTGCGTCTCCTCCACAGTGCGCCTGTTCACAAAGTTGGCTGTGACGCCAATGGCCAGTTTGCCTCGCATTTCTCGAACTGTGAAGCCTAGAGATGGGGGTAGGTGGGAAGCAGCAGGAGAACGAGGGGTATAATAACCTAGAAAGGCCCAGGAGGAGCCCAAGATGTTGGCTTCTTTGAGGGAAGGGATTACTCACCTTCGGGGACAAATTTACCTCCCGCAGCCGAGATAAGGACATCAAATTCATAGCTGGCCAGTTGGGCTGGGGGATTGGGCTGGAGTTGTGCACGCCAGCCACTCCCTGGAGCAGAAGGAATGAGAGGCACAAAGCTGTAGAATTCAGAGGGGCCCTACACTCCCAGGACAAGCCAGTGAAATAAATAAAATAATTAAAATAAATGTGTAAAGGACTCTCTGGTTTAGAAACCAATTGTCAGATTACACCTTCACAGCAGCCATGGAAGGCAGGTAAAGAAGGAAATGTTACTGCCATTTTGTGAATGCTTAACCTGAGGCTCAGAGCAGTTTGCCCAAGGCCACACTATTAGAAGAGACTCAGCTGGCTCCCAGCCCCATTCTTTTTCATCCGCTGGCTAATATCCCCTTGGTGAGTGGGGTTCCCAGAGAATAGAAGTACTTACCCTTTCTGGGAGGGGGCTGGAGGCCTGTGAAAGTGACACCCCAGTGAATTTCCACCCCCAGCAGTAATGCCACCTTCAGCAGAAGCAACTGAAGCTGCCGGATGCCTGGAAGGGAGAGACCATTAGGCAAAGGGTTCCCTGTGCTACACAGCCTCCCCAAGCTCTAGTGTGTGCCTGGTCAGAGCCTGGAGAAGGTCTTAGTGATCACTCAGCCCAACTGCCAATTTTACAGATAAGGAGCCTGAGCCTTCAAAGTCACCTGGCTGAAATGAATCTTGTCCATTCTGCCTTTTGGCTGGCCCAGCAGCCCTCCACTGGCCTGCCTCTAGGCTCAGGCTCACCCACCCCTCCAGGTCACCATGAGGTGCTCACTGATGTGGTCCAGGGTGCCAGTGCAGAAGCGCCCGTAGAACTTCTTGGCGCCAAGCGCCCGCAAGTCATGGATGGTGAAGGGCCAGAGGTGGAGTACATTGTGGCGAGAGAACTTGGTGCGCTTTTCCACTAGCACTACACGGGCCCCTAGCAGTGCCAGTTCGACAGCGGCCCGCAGCCCACAGGGTCCAGCACCCACCACCAGGCACTGTGAACACACAGGATAATGTAGGATGGCATTCCATTTCCCTCCTCTGAGACCCCCACTCTCCACATCCCATCCCAGGCACCAAGTAGCCACCTTGATGTTGGTGCAGGCCCGGCCCTGCTGGTAGACAGGCTGGCCTGCTCGCTTGTCCAGCTTGGCCCACAGAGACTTGGCACTCCAGTAGTTTAGCTGGGCCTTGATCTTGTGGTACTGAGGAAGCCCCCCACCGGGCTCCAGACCCAGAGTCCCACATAGCCCCTGGAAGCTGCTCAGCACATCCTGGCACAGCTGGGCCTGCAGGAAACTCTCAAAGTGGGTATGCGCTGGGTTGGTGGAGGTGGGTGAAGCCATGGAGGCCCCCTTGAGGCTCCCAGGGAGGGGAGCAGCTGGGCAGAGGTGAGAGGCTGCAGGAGAGAAGGAGGGGAGAGAAGGGAAGGAGGCTGTATGAAGGACGAAGGGAAAAGGGAGAGAGGAGGAGAAAGCAGGTTGGCCTCCCCAGGGAGCTCAGGGTCCCCCTGATTGGCTCTGCTCCTCCCTCCCAGCCCATTCCCCTGCCAGGATCTGCTCCAGAGACAGTGGTTACCCAGTCTACTCCAAGTGGAATTTGCCAAATTCGGAAATCAGCAGTCCTGGGCACAGAGGGCACAATGGAGGCATGGGGGCATGCAGCTCTGCCTCCCAAGCCCTGAGGGATCCCTGGGGCCCAGGGGGCAAGAATTCTTAGCCTGCTTTCCCCAGGCCCTCCTCAGACATGCCGGCTGCCCAGGAGGAAGGCTTCCCTTGCAGGGACTTGGGGACAGACCTAATACCCACAACGCAGCCCCAGACGCTAGGCACACATACTGCCCCTCTCACCACGTGCCTCCCTCTGCCAGGGCCCACGATGGCCTCAGTGTCACGCTGGGTGTGGGATGTGTTTCATGCTAAGGGCAGAGTTTCCCTCCACAGCACTCGTGCTTGCCTCCTGACAGAGAGGCAGACGGCCTCCACCTGCGGAGGCTTCACTTTGCACCCACAACTGCCTCAAAAACAGCCGGAAGATGTTGCGACTGACGGGGTGAGGGAGGCCTGGGTCTATTTCTGACTCACTGTGGTCAGAACACTTCCCCTGTGAACTTGTCTCCGCTCCAGTGGGCCTTGGGGAAGGTTGAGGGACGACAGCAGCTGGGTTCGCCCCTCCCAGGTTTCTCCCACCCCAGTCGACACCCCGCCCGTTCCCTGCGCGCTCTCCCAGGAATCTCCAGAGACAAGGCCTCCCTTTGTCCCCTTCCCGCGCTCCGGCCCCCACGCAACTTGAGGGGTATCAGAGGGGCTTTCTGTCGTTGAGCCCGTAAGGGATCAGAGGGTATGGAGGATGGGGCTGCCCACGGGGGCGTTAGGCAGGGTAGGTGACAGCAGTGGGGCCGACCCCTGGAGCTGACCTCCACTCCCATTTCCTTGCTGCCCCTTCGTTCCCAGCTGGCCGCGCCAAGGCAGGGGGAGTCTAAAGCCGCTCGCCATGGGTCACCTGGACGAGGGCGGAAGGAACCCCAGGAAGGGCAAAGGTCCCTCTTGGAGGTGGGAGTGGGGGTGGAAGGAGGAAGACCGCAGCGAAGGAGAGAAAAGGACGCCCCAGCCTGGAAACGTCAGGACAAAGGATGTGCGAGCGGCAGGGCTCTCTGAAAGGATGGAGCGGGAGCTGGACCACTGGCGGCGGGCACGGGGGACCCGGCACTCGGGACGGTAAAATGTGAAGAGGGGCTGAGCGGGGCGGGTGCGGGAAGAGCGGCCGCACCGGCCAGGCGCGCTTCCCTGGCGCCCGGGGCCGCTTTTTCCCGGAAGCGCACCCCGACCTCCACCCTGCCCCAGGCCCGGCCCGCAGTGGGGCGCAAGCCGGCTCAGCGGGACGACTTACCGGCGGCTCCGGGGTCGGGAGGGGCCGCTTCCTGTCGGGCCGGCCACCCCGTGAGGGCGGGGGCAGGGGCGGAGGAAGGAGCGGTGGAGGAAGCGCGGAGGGCAAGTCGGGGATGCCGGGCGGGGTGTGGGCTGCGCGAGGGTCGCGGCGCCCCGCCGAGGCTTTATTCGCACTTCATTAGCATCTCATTACTCTGCCAGCCTCCGGGGCCCGCCCACGCCTGCAGGGCGGCGCCCGAGGGCGTGGCGCGGCGGGCACCCGGTCCTGCTACGGGAACTCGGAGTAGGTCCGGCCTGGCCGGGACGAGGAACTCGAGGGTCCGGGGCGCCCGGGTCCCGGCCCCCACCGCCGCTGGGGATCCCTCCCGGCGCCTCCGCGAGCGAGGCTAGCCCTTCCCGCGCGGGAACTTCCCCCTTCCAACTCCGCGGGCCGCCTGGAGGCGCGGAGGACGAGAGGGCGAGAGGGCGTTCCGACTCGGCAAGAAGCTGGGAGAAGGTGACTGGTCCGAGGTGGCGCCGGAACGTCTGCGTTGTCTTCACCTCTCCCATCAGGACGTCCACGGCCCGGGCGCCCCACGTACGTCCAAGCGCCGGGGCCGCCTCGCCTGAGAAAGGTCTGCCCCTAGTCCCGGGCTGGGGGTAAAGGCACGGATTAAAGTACTGGGAACTCGGCAATCTGCAGCTTCCAAATGGGCATAAGAAGTGAGGGCAAAGGGGTAGGTGGTGGTGGTAGTGGCGTTAGATCCCTGCTAAGAAGGGGGAACTGAAGGGGGGTGCGTGGGAGAGAAGCTAGATCCCCAATGTTCAACAGTGCGGTAGAATGAGAACCCGCGGAACTGTCAGTGCTGAAGAGGGCGTGAGGGACTTTGGGGATCAACTTTACATTCTCAATAAGGAAAGAGTGCTGAAAGTAAGGAACGCGTCCAACGTCATTCAGCTAGTTAATATTACTAAAATATCAATTCTCATTTATTGAGTGTCATACTATGCGTATAACCTTAATCTCAGTGTTCACACAGTCCCATTTTACCGAAAAGGAAACTGAGGGTCACAGAGGTTCCTTGACCTGCCCAAGTTACACACACAGCAAGTGGCAGAGCTAGTATCAGGGCCCAGGTGTATCTGGGCTTCACCACACCAGTGTTGATCTAACGTGACAAATGAAAGAAGCTGTTTCTTGTGTAGAGGAAGTGACAGTTACAGTAGAAACAAAAAACCTAGGAATAAGTGGGAGAGTTTCTCTCCTTGAGATTCAGGAACTGGAAAGAGCTGGGGGCTCTATGGCGCCCCCCTTTTCTTTATTCTCACTTTGCATTTTGTCTGGAAACCCCCTGAGATCCAGCCCACCAAGACCTGAGCACTCTGTTCCCAGCTGGAGCTGAGAAGCAGGCAGGGGGAGGAAAACGAGGGGAAATGCCTGCTCTCTGCCCGGAGGAGAGGCAGGGAATTCAGCCAGGTCACGCTCCGGAAACTAGGGCAATGTCCCATCTGGGCCCATCTGAATATGACACACCCATATTTAACTAAATAGTGTAAAAGCGTTCAGAAATCCACTACACATGGGTTACCAGGCTTTCAGAATTATCTTGTTTCCCTTTCATTAGCAGGTGGCAGACAACTAGCTGCTCGTCTTACTGCTTTTGCAAAGGCCTAGCAGGGTCTGGCTTGACTGGATGACTTGCAGTTACAGCCCAACAGGGTGATGTGGCGGCTCTCTGAACGACAAGTCTTTAAAAAAATCACAGGATAATGAATTCATCAATGCTGAGAAAACTGCTGAATTGGAGTTTCAGCTTTTGCTAATTAAAGACACACTCTGGAGCCTAAAGCAGTGGGGAATACATTGGTCTGGAATCCAGTTCTGGTCAGACTCCAGCTTTGATTCATGCTAGCCTAGTGTGACCTTGGAAGTCACCAATCACCACACTTCAGTCTTCTCATCTGTAAATGAAGGCAGTTAAATGACTCAACTTTCTCAGCCCATTTCAGTTCTAAAATCCCATTATTCGATGTGCTGGCCCTAAGAAATGTACAGACTAGAAGACCCAAACCAAGTTTTACTCACAGAGTTTCTTCCGGGGCGAGGGGGGGGGGAGGGGGGGAAACCAAACCTCTATTAAAGCTAAAATAATACATTTATTATTTATTTACGAGCATTTCTCTTCTTAATTAGAATCTTGAGTCATGATCCACATTATATGTGGATATAGAACTAAAAATGCTGGCACAATCACATTGGCCAATTCTAATCGTTATCAAATAATGGTTGATACATGAAAAGTCAGTTTTTAAAAAATCTCATTCTAATATTTTCATAAATATCAGCAGTGGCCTACGGTAAAAACCTGAGCCATTATGACAGTTAAAATCCTCTTTCCTCTGACCCACATCATGTTCTGTCTTCCTGCAATGCCATCCTTACCTCCCTTCCCAATCTCTGATCTCCTGGGCCTGGAGCCAGAAAGTAAGTCCCTTAGCACTGCAGGTGACATGTCTAAGCCAACCTATACTATGTCCTTGCACCTAGAGGTCACTGCCTTCAAACAACAGACTGTGGCCCTGGGCCAGGAGCTGTGGGTAAAAATAATTACAAACTCAGCAGGGGTATGAGAGGATAAGACAGGGTGGCTTGATTGAGATTAGAGGCTCAGGGAGGGCCTCCCTGAAATCTCACATAAATAGTCATGAGTCAGAGTGGGGCTCTGAAGGCTTAGAAACACAACTTTTTTTTTTTTTTTCTAAAGATGACCGGTAAGGGGATCTTAACCCTTGACTTGGTGTTGTCAGCACCACCTTCAGCCAGTGAGGGAACTGGCCATCCCTATATGGGATCCGAACCCGGGGCCTTGGTGTTATCAGCACCGTACTCTCCCGAGTGAGCCACGGGCCGGCCCAAAAACACAACTTTGAAAGCTGAGAAACTGCCTGCTCCCAAGCCCTCAGGCAGGAAAGAGCTGGGTGAATTTCAGGAACTGCAAGGAAGCCAATGTGGTTGGAAGTGAAAAAGGGAAAAGCCCAAGAGGAAGCTGGATGGGGGATTTTATTCTAAGTGCAGTGGGAAACTGCACAAAGATTTTAAGCAGAGACGTGATCATATTTGCCTTAATGCAAATCCACTTAGCAAGACAGTCTGCTTGATGCTAAGCTAAGGGGCAATGGTGAGCCCAGATAGACCCCCCACTTCCGATGGAGAAATGGGTAGGGGAAGAAGTAGAAAGGATCAGTGAGGACTTGGCAGGAGTCCAGGCAAGAGACTTGGCGTACCCAGTGGATGGATTAAAAAGACAGTTTGCGGTGAAACCCACATAATTTGGTGATGGATTGGGTGGGGGTGAGGAGGGCCCCATGAAGAATGATCCCAGCTTTCTCTCTTGGCTTAGAACAGGTGAATCACAGATTTGGGTCCCTCATTCCTTCCTACTTATTCTTCCTTCCAACCTTATCCCTTTGTATGCTGC